TTAGCCCTGGTCCCATGGAGCAAAGCCCACATGCCCAAGGCACTCTGTTAGTTGCACTGCAGTGAAAGTCCCCTCTGCATCCAGAATGGCGCAGGTGTAAGCCATCCCCGGGGGGCGTTGAGAAAACAGTCACTTGGTCCCTGCTGGGTTCTGCAGAGCAGATCCCTCCCAGGGAAGGCTGTCTGGCCCTTCGTGTCTGTCCGTCTGTCCCCTAACGGACTGTGGGCCTCCGGAGGACACAGACCTCTTTTTGACAGCTGCTTCTCTGCTGCCTCGTTCAGAGCACCTAGCACTCCCAACAGAAGCTGCCGAGGAAGTGCCAGTGTTTGGCTCATGTTACAGCTCCTGGGTGCCGCAGGACTTCACGGAGCACTCACCGTGCGCTCGCCCTTCCTAGGGCTCAGCGGAGACATCAGAAAATGAAGGTAATAAAGGGAGTGGCTTCCTTCCTGCCCAGGGCCAGCATCCCACACTGCGTGCCTGACCTCAGCTCCAGCCTGCTGAGAACCTTCCGCAGCTCCCCACTTGCTGCCAGGGGAAAAGCAGGAGGAAGGCTTTGAGGGTCGACACCGCCCTTCGTATCCAGCCCTGTCTCCCGCTCCAGTCCCTGCAAGGCCACTGTCTGTGGGAAGCAGCCTCTGCCGTGGCCCCAGGGAGGCCCGTCATGCGTGCAGACCGGACCCGACAGTTCACCTCCAGACCGGAATTCAGCGGAGTGGTGGTTTGTCACTCCCAGGCCTGGGTTTGGAAAGATGGACACTTCCACTCTGGTTGCTCTCTGGCCTCTCTGGAATGGCTCCTCCGGGGAAGCCAGCTGCCACGCGGTAGGCAGGGCCATGGGGAAGCCTACATGGCCAGGGACCAAGGACTGCCAGTAACTGTGAGCAAGTGAGCAAGCTTAGAGACAGGCATCTCCAGGTAGGCCTTCAGGTGAGGCTGCTTTAAAAAAAAAAGAAATACCAGGGCCTTCACACTGGGCTGCATCTGATTTTTAATTTCCTATTTTGCGACAGGGTTGTGCTAAGTCACCACGTTGCCCAGGCTGAGCTCAAACTTGGAATCCTCCTTCCTCAGCCTCCTAGAGTCCTGGGATTACAGGTGTGTGCCACCACACCCAGCCCCAGCCAACAATTTGCACCCTTATAGGAGAAAAAGCCAGAGGCAGCTGGTTGAACCATGCCAAGATTCCGGACCACAGAAAAGGCCAATTAAATGTTTGTTGTTTTAATTGACTAAGTTTCAGGGCAATTTGTTATGCAGCAATAGATAATTAACACAGTATCGACAGTCCATTCCTTAGATAAGGGAATAGAGGGTCTGGGAACTAAGGACTTGCCAAGGTTACACAACTGGTAGGTGGCAGAGCCGGACTCCGAATGCCCCTCAGTCACACTGTCCTCAAGGTCCCAGAATCAGGATGACTCAGTTCCTGTCCCTGTCCCAAAGCCCCCGGTCCAGGCCCGAGGCACGGGGCAGAGGCACCAGGCAGCCCGCCACCAAGTTCCCCTTGCACAAACCCACACGGACAGCGGTGCGCCCGACGGCAGACAGGAGCGCCAAGGCAGCACTGTCCCGGGGACCATGGGGTAAGGGTGCAGGCGATCAGGTCGCACACACAGCTGGAGGAGCCCCAGAGACACCCCCAGAGCCTTCAGTGCCCACCGCCCACCCGGTGGACCACTCAGAGCCCATCGCCCGCTTGGTCCTTGCCTTCTGACAGCTCTGCAGGCTGACCTTGCCATCCCCAGCCCACACAAGCTCCTCCTCCCACACTCGGAGGAGCCAGCCGCAGCAAGAGCGGAGCGGTCACGCCCTCCGAGGACCCAGCCCGTCCACTGTCCTCTCTCCCTCTTGTCTCACCTCGTCACCCAGCCACCCGGCTCAGGCTCTCCTCTCCCGCCCTCCCACCACCCCCTTCAGCTCCATCGATGGCCTGTACCCCATCCTCGTCCCCGGCCCCCCTGACCAAGCACTGCTAGTGCCCACTGAGCGCCAGGCACTGGGCAAGCTTGAGGGGGCAGGGAGCTGGGATGGGCCTGCTGCCCACCCTCCCGGAACCCTCAGGCCTTGTAGGGTGTGGTTCAAATGTGGCCAGAAGTCACAGACACAACCCAGGGGTTCATCTGGCCCTAAACCCCCAGCCCTGAGCTGCTGTCAGGAGGCGCTGTCCCTTCGCGAATCTCGGGGCTCACAAGGGCACCTCCCTCCTGCTGCTGGGTTGAGAATTAATGAACCCAAGAGGGGGAAGTGGGGAGTCAGCTGACGGGACAAGGCGGGGTGTCTCCTCAGAGGCACCAGCTACACAGCCTCAGTCAGCCACTTCCCCTCCCCGGACGCAGCACCCCCTCTGTGCAGGAAGGAGTAGGCAGCAGTCTCTCAGGTCCCTGAGCCCTGGGACCCTCCAACGCTGGGGTGTGCAACGTCCAGCAATGAGCTGGAGGTGACATGACGGTGGCGTGCATCTGTGTGTCATCCACACGTCAGCCCTCAGCAGCAGGCCATCCCCTACCCTGGAGGGAGGGAAAGGGAGTTGAGAAAAGGGAGAGAGGAGGAGAGGGGTGGTTTTCCAGGGTCACTACTGCTCCTGCTGGGTCCCTCTGTGACTCCCACCGCCCCACCGGCCTGCCCCCAAGACCAGCAGCTGCCCTGGAATCCTGCCAGGCGAGAGAGATGACACGTGTAACCACAGCAACCATTTCCAAATGGGGCCGCACGCCTCCCATCAGTGCCCTCCCAGGCTGGTCCTGGAGGAGCCCAGCTCCTCCCCAGGCGCCCCTCCCCTGCGTACACACACACCCCTACAGCTGCTCACCTGGCAGTGCAGACAGGACAACACACAATCGCTTCTACAAATCTCACAGCACACAACACAGAGACCCAAAACACAGGTCCACGGGTTACACACAACAAAAACACAGAGACTCCAAACACTTCCTCAGGCACAGAGCTTAGATCACCCCCGCCCACACCCCAGAGCACTGGGTCTGTCCCTGACACCACTACCACCACCACCCCACCACCCCTGCAGCCCAATAATCCAAAGTCTTCGGGCCCAAGACACAGCAAAGGCCCGAGGCTACAGCGGAGACACTTCGAGGGCCTTTAGAGCAAGACTTCAGGGCCAGAAGCTCCCTGGGGAAGAAGCCACCGCCTGCGCCTCCTGCTGGCACCACTCAACCCACAGTGAACGAACCCAGGGCCACCAGGGCGGCATACGTGTGTGTCATGCGTGGGGCTGCGTGGGGCTGCGTGGGGCTGCGTGGGCCGGCACTTGCGCTGGGGGACTGCGGTGGTCACCAGGACACACCTCTCACACCCCTTCTCCTCCTGAGGACAGCAGCAGAGGCAGCAGGCCAGGCAAACGGGGTATCCAACATGAGCTCGCCAGTGCCCCCCAGCCTGGACGCCCACCCAAGCTGTCTTCCTGCCGCCAAGGAAATGGGACACCCGGGAGCGGAGGCTCTGACCCAGGGCCGAGGACATCTGCCCACGCCATCCTCCTGCTTACCCTGACCCACGCAATCCTCACCACCAGCTTGGGAAGAGGTCACTATTATTAGCCCATTGGCAGACGAGACCGCTGAGGTACAGGGCGGGTTCACCCCTCATCAAAACACACACCTCCGCACCCCAGAGCATGAGCTCAGCGGGCCTCGGGGTCCCCACTCCCCGTGGAGCCTGTGCTTGGGCAGCTGGGGGGCAGAGCTCCATGTCCGGAGCTCACTCCAAGGGCCCTTTGGTGCTACCCGGGCCACAAGCTTGTCCAAGTCTGACTCCAGTGGAAAATGTCCGTCAGCTCCAGACCCGGTGTCAACAGCCCCGCTAGGCCAGTGTCCGCTGAGCAGGCCCCCGCCCCGCAGACAGGCAAGCCGCGCCCAGGTCAGCCCAACCCGAGTCTCCAGCCAAGGCCAGGCCACTGGCACTGCCCCGGCCGACTCCGGATTATGTGTCTTCCAGGGCCTTCCATCTGTCACTTGGCCCTTCAGGCTCAGGACAAAATTCATTTCCTTTTAAGAGAACCAATGATTTGCTTTTCCCATGTCTTTCTCTGCCCTTTTCTCTTTAAATTAGACGTGACTCCCCCGAAGTCCTGAGTCTGGAAGGAGGAAGCCACCTGGTCACCAGTCCTGGCCACGGCTTCCCTGCGCCGCCGGGGCCCTCGGTGCCCAGCGGACTCAGCAGATGGCGGCTGCTCGCCTCCTAATGCCCCGTCCGAGTGGGAGGGCCCAGGAGAGCGGGGCAGGGGCTCCCCACCAACTTCTGCACCACCAGAGGGGAGCGGAGCCCAGCGCCAGTCCTGAGGAGCGCGTCCCTGTGGGGATGGCGCTGCACCAGCCTTGGGCTCCCAAGACCACAGCACTACAGCAAGGGGGACGAGAGGACCACAGTGGGAGCCAGCAGGAGCCCGGCACACAGGGCCCCCGGCTCCTCCACCCCGGCCGGCGGCCCGCCTGATGGACGGAGCTGAGCCAGAAGCCTGCCTCGCAGAAGCCACACTCGGAGGGGCAGGTCAGGCCCTGGGGGTGCTGCTAGCACACCCGTGTGCCTCGACACAAGCTGGCACGGTACACACCCACAGAAAGCTCCAAAGCGCAGACACACACACGCACTCCCGCACACACGCGGGTGACCACACTCGTCCCCTCTCCATCGTGGAACACAGCACCAGCTCCACGGCCCACACCCCAGGCCACCAACCGTCCCCCCACAGGGAGAGGCAGGCAGGGACAGCCAGGACTTCCTATTCCACCCGGGGCTGCTCCGCACCCTGCTAGGAGGAGACTGTGGGGAGATTCACCGCCAGACCTCCTGGCTCTCCCCAGACCCCCAGGCTTCCCCAGCAGTGCCTTGCACTCCAAGGCTGCCCCTCACAACCCTGAGCCCCCGGGGAGCAGGGGCAGGGGACGACCAAGCCCTCAGTCCCGGTGCCTCTGGCCCCAGCTTCCAAGGCTGTCCGCCGCTGGGAATGGGAGGACCCTCTGGCACCCACGGGGCCTTACCGGGGAGGGTGCTCCGGGTGATCTGTCCCCCCATCGCGGGCAGCAGGCAGTGCGGCCACCTCCGTTTGGCTAGCCAGCCTCGTCACGGTCACCAAGCAGCCCCAGCCGTCAGCTCCCCTCCTCCCCCCAGTCCTCCCCCAGGGCCGGCAGGCATGGCAGGGCTGAGCGACCCCTCCTGCACCCCCAGCGCACCCTCCCACGCGCACACACACCCGCCCGGCGGCCACACACACGCACACACGCACACCAGCCTCCCAGCTTCCACCCACTCTGAGCTTCCCCCACCTCCCTCTTGTACAGGCGATGGGATCTGTCATGTTTATTTACATAAGGAGGAGGAGACTGGAGGCTTCCTGAAATAGCCGAGCTCCAGAAAGCACTGGAGATGCCCCAGCTCCCAGTGCGCGCTCTGCCTCTCTCTCCCTCTCTCTCCCTCTCCGTCTCCGTCTCCATCTCTCTCTGACACACACTGCCCCCTCACAGACACACGGGGATAGTGACACACTCGCCCACACTCACCAATCACCAGCAGCCACGCGTTCCTCCCACGCTGCTCCACGCAGGTGCAAGGACGGTATGGTGAGCAGAAAGACACCGTCCCGCCCTCAAGGAGTCCGGGGTCAAGCTGGGCGCCCATCAACAAAGCCCTAGCTCCGTTTCTATCTTCTCCCAGACTCTGTTCAGTTTTGCCAATATGAACTCCTTCAGTCCTCACAAGCTGTACCCCTGCTCCTAATCAACAGGTACCTATGACCAGCAGATGAGGACCCTAAAGCTGAGAAGACCAAGACCAAGAGCGGTGACCTGCGCAGAGGGTGGCAGGGGCCCGCACACACCTTGTCCGATTGTCCCAGCTTCTCCTGGGCGCATCTCAAAAATTTAATTCAACGCCACCATACTAATTAAGGACCGACTATGTGCCGAGCCCTAAGCTGTGCATGGGGAAGGCGGTGGTGATCACAAGGGGACCCTTGGCTCTTGTGGACTCCGGATGCAGAGGAAACAGACATTTATCAAGCAGCCTCAGCACAGAACATAAGAACATTGTCCAAAAGGACCCGTACGTAATGTTCAGTAAAGTGGGCTGCTGTACAGTCACCATCCCCAAAGGGCTTGAAACACAGCGGCGAAGTTCAGGGGCTCAGGACGGGTTTTCCTGAAACGCGGTGGTGAAAGCAAGGCATGCAGGAGAGGCCTGTGTGCGGTGGAGGGAGGCTCCAGAGAGTGATTGCAGCTTGTGCAAAGGCCCTGGGCCTGAGCGAACCCAGCACACTCGAGAAGCGGCGTTGGTGCGGCTGAGTCAGTAGGAGGAACATGGGGAATCTGGCTGCTGGCAACCCCAGATGGGCTGGGGTACCCCGCCAGGGCAGCGGGGTGACAAATCTGGCCTTTTTCCGGTGAGCAACAGGAAATTCCAACAGGTTCCAGTAGGGGTTCACAACATCAGCCTTGCACTTCAAAAAGGCCACTCTGCCAGGTGCCGGGGCAGCCCTGGGAGGTGGGCAGACATCAGCAGGGTCGGACCTTTATCTGGCTTGTCCTTGTTCCCATGCATGGCCAGCTCTCGAGAAACAGCAAACCTCCTGCGATACTCCAGGAGGACTATGCGGCAGCAGTTACACAGTGACCAGCCGGGAACGGGGCAGGGCTGGCTCAGCAAGCCAGGGGGAAGCAGCCCCTTTCACCCGCCTCCCACATGAATGGAATACTAGAGAGCTGGGGACCCCAGTCTTCCCAGAAACCTTGCCCAACGGGTTTCCAGCCAACTTGCCTGGCTCCTGGGTCCCACACTTCCCTGCCTGGTTGTACCAGGAAGCGACAGTGTCCTTGTCTGTAGTGTCCTCCCTCCGCTGCCCCCAAGCCATGTCCAGGGCCTCTCCAGGGAAGGCTGCACCCCTCCAGGCTGGGACCAGCAATGCACATCTTCTCAGGGGCACTGGGTAAGACTTCACCTGGCCAAAGGGCTCCCATATGAAAGGGTGAGATGCCGCTGACCTGCATCATCCATTCGCCCGCAAGCCCTCCTGGAGCACCAGCCTGCGACCAACTGGTGAGCGAGGTGAGACCACCCTTCAGAAGCCAATTCCAGACCCCGTGGGGAGCCACGCTGAGACCAAGCGGCAACATTCTTTGGGCTCTGGCTGAATGATCTCCGCGCTCCCTTCTGTCGCCACACTCTGCAGGCTGCTTCCACAGAAGGGGTCCACACGCTCCTGCTGCCTGAGCCTCGGAGGTGCCTGGGAACTGGGCGGAGGGTTCTGCGTACGTAATCTCAGCAAACCCCATAGCATCCCTTCAGGAGGTATAAGCATCCACCACCCATTGGCTGCTTTTGGAGGCTGCAAAACTGAGGCTCACAGAGGTGATACCAAGTAAGCAGTGAACCGGGCTTTAAACTCAGACTTGCCTGGCATCAGAACTCATGCTCTGTCCAGAAAAGGTCAAAGGACAGAGGCCTCTCTTGGTTGGGGAAGAGAAGAGGACCTTCTTCTCATGAGGAATTAGAAGGGTTCCAGGTGGTGGCAAAGTCTAGAGGTTTTCAGGGACCAGAGATACCCACGGTGGAGCTCCAACTAATGCAAAGGAGACAAGCTAGGTACAAGCTTCTGGTCCAGGCAGATGTTGAGGCCCCATCTTGGAGAAAGCAGATGCATCCACAGCTGGGAGAGGGCAGGCCGGAAGCAGAGCTGGATGTGCCCAGGGCAGCCTGGTGTGAACCACTCCCTACTGGGCTCCGAGAGAGACTGTTCCTCTGCAGTGGAGCTGCAGCTGCCCCTTGACACCATCGAGGAAGCGCAGCCATCGCGGCTGCACTCACTCCACTCTCTCTAGACCCACCCCACCACACGGCCCTCCTCTGCCCGAACCTCCCACCTCCTTCCGCCCTCCTTCCTCCACGCACCGGGCACCATCACGGCTCCCACGGCAGCCTGCCCGCTCAGCAACTTCTCGGCAAGAACTTCCTCATCCTGTCCGCATGCCCGGCACCTGCACCCCCAGCCTAAACCCGCCTTCTGGAAGCGTCAGGTCTCAGATAGAGCCGGGAAGGGCAGAGCAAAGGATGGGGCGATCTCCCTGGGCAACGTAAACCATCTGAGTCCCAGACTCAGGGTCTGGAAGGGGAAGGAGCCTCCAGACAGCACCAGCTCCAGCCTCTCCCTGTTCCCGCTGCACAGCGGCACCAGAGCGGCCTAGTGAACTACGGGCTCCCCGAGGGCGCACAGCAAGCACGGTGGTGGAGACTGGAGCTCAGGGTCCTGTCTTCTGAGGCTCCGCTTAGTGTGACATACAGGCCGAGGCACGGAAGACAAGACTGGACAAGGGAGAGGAAACCTGCTCTTCGGTGGGGTAGGGGGTGAATGTGTCTGGAGGGGCCTGGGGTGAGGTACCTGGCTGGGAGGAGCTGGGGGCAGCTTCCGGTTGCCACAGAGGTTTTTCCATGGAGAACAAGAGATAATTCAATGGAGGTGATGAGTCACCCAGTACTTGGGGCTTGAGGCCAAACTGCCTGGGTCGTCCTCCCTGACCTATGGGGCCGGGCCTGGTGCTGGACAGTGGGGAGCAGTGAACCCCACCCCAGATCTTCTTCCCATGCCCAGAACCAGGACAAGAGTGTGGGCTGCTGCCTCGAGTCTGAGAGAGCGAAGGAGGAGAGGACAAAGGCACCAGGAGACAGAGACAGCGAGCTGCACGCTGCAGAGAAACTGGAGCCAGGAAGCCCAGAGGGCGTCCTCGGGGCTGGGCCAGGTGCCCCAGCAGTGACAGCTGACAGCCGCCCAGAATGCTGGGAAGACAACAGGTGCAGCTGCGGGGGCGGGGACTGAGAGGAGATCAGGGAGAACAGCGCGGCGCTGGGGCCCCTCCCAGCTCCTCCCGGGCCCAGGCCTATCGCCAAGCAGCCCCTTCTGGGCCCCTCTAGGACACAAACGCACCTGAGAATGCCCCCAGTTCTGGGTAGTCCTGGGCTAGACAGAGGGGTGTCTACCACACCAGGCAAAAAGGACAGTACAGGAAGAAACCAGCCTTCGGTTCCCAGGACGGAGCGTGCCAGGCCAGGCCACACCCACAGAGCCCCCGGCTGGAAGCAAACATTTGTCTGTGATATGATCTCTGTCACCAGCCAGGAAGGGTGGATGGAGGTGCCCACCCCACTCATACGAGGCTGGGAGCTCTGGTCTCAAGGTCAGACAGGTCAGCTCCAGCCCCTGTGATCTGGCAAGCCAGTAGGCTTCTCTGCAGCTCGGCCATCTCTCCTCTAACACGGGCGTGCCATGGTGCTCGCGAGGGCAGAGTGACACAATGTCTGCATGGCACACTGCCTGGCCACTGCTCAGAGGCCCTGAGAGCTCCGGAGTACAGATCCTGGAGGGGCTAACGTCACCCAGAAGTGTGACTTGGGACATAGACTAAGAAAATATGTGACCTGAGGCAGGAGAAATTGAGGACCTGCTTTACAGGAGCATCTCCATCATCACACGGTACCACGTCCCCTCCCCGCCCTGCACAGGGACGTGTTCCGGGCTTGTGTGTCACCGCTTGCCTGTAGAATATGCAAATGCCATGTCACTGTGCCAGCAGTGGAAGCTGGAGCGGCGGGCCTGCTCAGTAAGGAGATTAAACCGTCCCTTGTCACCTGGTGAGCCCTCTGCTTTCGGTCAGAGTGGAATGAATTTTAAAGTGGAAGCCAGCCCTTGTCCCAGTCACAAGTGAGGAAGCACCGGGCCTGCACTCGTAAGCCCTCCTCGTTCCGGTGCAGCCTCGCTGGGAAGGAGAGGAAGGCAGACGGTGAGACGCCTGCGAAGGGCAGCGAGACAAGGAGGCCCAAAGCGACGCAGGAGCCAGGACGTATGTGCTGGAAGAGGGCACAGGCTCTGTGCATCAGGGACGTGGACACACACCCGGCTCATCCTGCTGGGCCTGCCGGATTATGAGCAAAGCCAGCAGCTGAGCAGAATAAGCCCTCCTATGCGGGCAGAAAACCTCCCCCGATCCCTCCCGCTCCACCCCCAGTGCGCACACACACACACACACACACGCACACACACACCTCTAGGCCCCACAGCTCAGCCAAAGCGCCCAGTGCCCACCCATTCTGGCACCAGGCCTCCCGCTGGTGGGTGGAAGCCACCTCAAGGCTGGGCGGCAGCCCTGGCCTCCTGCAGCCCACCTTCTCTGGGCAGCCTCCATCTTCCCGTCTCCTGCTTCTGGCCCACTACGCTAGGCTTACTCCTGTGCTCTCCCCACCCCCAGCCTGCCGCCCCTGGGGGGCCTCTCCCTCCAGCCTTGGGCTCAGACATGG